GGGGGACCTCGGGGGGTTTGTGCCATGCTCCATCCCTTCCTGCTTTGCAAGCCTGCACTTTTAATTACTTTTGGCACTTTAAGAACAGAATCACAAATTCCCTGAGGTTGGAAAAAGACTCCAAGGTCCCCAACCCCAACCCAATCCACCCCAGCCATGCCCACATCCCTCAGTGCTGCAGCCCTGTGGTTCTGAACAGCCCGAGGGATGGGGACCAGCCCCGCTGCCAAGGCAGCCTGTGTCAATTCATTACTTCTCTCTTGGAAAAGAAACTGTTCCTCTGTATCCAACCCAAACACAGCCTAAGGCCATTACCTGGACACAGAGCCATAGAGCAGTGTTGGAAAAGATCCTCCAGGATCCCCAACCCCACCCCTATCCCCGACTTCAGTCCTCCCCTCCCTGCACCACAGGGTAAGGAGATACCCGACACAGCCACCTGATCCCCTCCTTTGCCATCATAGAGACTTTTGGCTTTTAATTAGAGTTCAAGGAGTGCTTTTCGCTCTACGACAAGAACCACAAAGGGAAGATCAGGGCTGCAGACCTGCTGACTGTGATGCGCTGCCTGGGGGTCAGCCCCACGCCGGCTGAGGCACAGCGGCACCTGCACCTGCACAAGATCGGTGAGTCCCAAACACACATCCCAAAATCAGCCCACCAGTCCCAAACACACATCCCAAAATGGGTCTGAGAGGGAGGGCACAGGGAGCGAAGCTGGCTGATGCTAGCAGGAGACGGCTGGGGGTATTTTGTGGTTAAAACGTTGATTTTGTGGAGTTGGGAGATGATGGGAAAGGAGGAGGGGGCTGGGTGTCACTGTGCGCCCCAGGACTTGGCACATAGAGGGGGAGTTCCGAGCTGGGCAAAAGAGAACAGCTGTACGTGGGCTGTGGGAACCACCAGCAGTGCTGCCCCTGTCAGACAAAAACCAGAAGGAGCCCCAAGAAGGGAAGATGGGGGATGTGGGAAGTGGTAGAACTACCCCAGAATCCAGAGCTGAGCTTTTCTCTCCCTTCTGCCAGAGCGCAATGCAGAGCTGGACTTCTCCACCTTCCTCAACATCATGTACAGGCAGATGAAGCAGGAGGAGCCTGAGAAGGAGATCCTGACGGCGCTGGCCATGATCGATCGGGAGAAGCGAGGGCTGATCTCTGCTGCTGAGCTGAGGGCAAAGCTGACACGACTGGGGGAGAAACTGTCCGAGGAAGAGGGTATGGCAGCTTCTGACCTCCCACTCCTTCTCTTCCCCGTCCCCCTGTCCCATGCATGCACACAGAGCGCTCTCACAGCCTCATTAGCGTGCTGTTAATTACACACCCATCAGCGTGGGCTCACCATGCTGCTGCCAACCCACGGCCACCACCACTCGTCCAAACAACGCAGAAGGACAGCAGTTAAAAGCACCTGATGCTGACCTGACCCCATCCCACCTCAGCTGTGCTGTAACTCAATGCGCTCTGACCCAGTGAGAACCGACCCTTTCTCCCCTCCCCACGTTACTTGAGTGTTCTGAGAATCGTTCATTACTTTTCAATTGAAGAATTAATTACACCAGCAGGACGTTCTCTTTGAGAGGAGGAGCTGAGTGCTCAGCCTGCTCACAAGAGCCATACTCAGGTCCAGTAACCGCAGACTGGACGGCACCTCCAACAGAGCCTGACCACCTCACAAACCCACGTCCCATGTTCCTTTTTGTTCAAGCAGCACAGTACCACTGACCTACACCCAATACAGCCTTGTATTTCCTTCTGTTTCCTTGCAGTCGATGACCTGCTGAAAGAAGCCAAAATCGGGCCAAACGGCACAATTAAATACGAAGAGTTCACCCACACCATTTGCCTCCCCGCAGTCGATTACTGACAGCAGGAGGGGTTTGCGAGCAGCAGGACCTGCAACTTCTCTTCACTCCATCTTTCCTCATCACCACCTGCACTCAGGAATCATCATTTGCCTTTGGGAACCCAGGGGCTGCCTTGGCTGCGCTTCCCCAGGACCCCAGAGAAGCGCTCTCTCAAAATGCGAGCTGATACTGAAATAAATGAGGTGTGACGTTCCCACGTGGCAAAAGCATCGTGCTTCACACCCCTTCTTATCATACAGCAAACCTACAGCCACGTCCTGCTGCGCTCACACTGCCAGGCCCCGCAGCCTGACCCAGCAGCAGAGCTCCCGGCCACATGCTGCCAACAGCAGTGCTGCACATAGAAGGGGTGCAGCTGGGTGCAATGCCTGCTGGCTGCAGGGGATGCTGCCAGCCTCAAAGTGTGGCAGTTCTCATTCCCCCCTCCTGCAGCGTCGCACTCTGCTCAGGTGCAGCATCGCACAGGTCGGCTCTGTGCTGTTCAGTTGCCCCTGCGTTCAGGCAGCACCTGGGTCTGCTGCTGAGCACTGGGCTGGGCTGGAACACATTCCTGCAGGCGTCTGGCAGGGAAAACAGGCTATGGAAATCCAGCTTTCCATAATAGCAAAAAAAAAAATACAACACCAAGCAAAAACGCATCTCTAGACTGCTCAAAGCTGAGGTGATGCAGGGCAGTCAGTGTTCATCCCACCTGCAGCATGGCAGCACACAGCAGAGCCCTGAAGCCCAAGCAGGGCTGGACTCAGTGCACGCCCCCACCGCCTCCTGCTGCCTCTCCCTCTTCTCATTCATTCTGCAGCAACCAACACTCCCTGCTCCATCTGTGAGACAGCCAGCAGGGAAACCCTCACAGCAAGTCAGTGCAGTGCCTTCAGGCTCTCAAAGGCACGCAGCACAGCTCCAACGCCATCACACAACCTGTGAAGTCAGGCAGGAACTCCAGCAGCACAGCACTGCTTAGAAAGCAAAGCACCAGCAGGCTCTTCCAGCACCCCAGCAGCACGGCCACAGCTGCAAAGCAGCAGCAGGAATCACCCCATGCTACAGCAGCAAAGCATTCCTGCTCACAGGGACCTGGGCCACCAAAGACCCCCAGCCCCCCCCCTGCTGCGTGTGGCTGTAGGAAACACAATGTAGCCGAATGCTTTTTATTACATCTAAAGAGTTCTACATAAACAGGTAACATTCAATAGGTAAACCATTTGTTTTTTTTTTTTCCAATGCATATAATAAATATTTTCACTTGGTACTTTTATACAAACTGACATTGGTCTACTATACATCTTTAAAAGCCATGTACTGGTTTGGCATGCCGTATGGAAACTATGAGAAAGTTTTAAGGCAATGAATGACAGATCTGAGTTAATGGTCATTTTAATATTCTGCTTATATACATTTTTTTTCCCTTTGTTAATTAAAACAATTAACAGCAGCACTTTGGGGGACCACCAGCAATTTTCCCTTGTTAGAAATCTAAGCTCTGTTAAAAAAAAGGAAAAAAACCCAAAACAGTTACACTGACAAAACAAAACCCTTTCTGAATATATTTAAAATGTGCTTCAAACCCTGAAATGTGAACCCGCAGGGAGGAATTCCCATCCCACTGCTCTCCCCACAGCGCTGCGTATGGGGGCCGCCCCACAGCCGCCCCTCAGGCACCCTGCATGGGGGGCAGCGGGTCGGCCTGGAGCCACGACTGCAGCGCTGATGGCGGCAGCACAACGCTCTCAATGCAACCTGTGCACACTGCAGTTCCAAGCTGTGGTTTATTCCCTTCCAACGCAGCACTGATGCCCACCAGCACCCAAAGCCACGTCCGGCCCACGCTGTGCGCGCACCCTGACCCCACGCAGGGCTCCCACCCCCAGCCCTCCCCTGCAGGAGCTCGGGGACGTGAACCACAGAGCGTGGCCACCCAGCATCAGCAGGCAGCGCTTTGCAGCTCTTCTCAGCCACGTGACGGCGCGGATCGGAGCTCCGTTTGCAGGGAACTTTGAGAACTCAGACTGAGACTTCTACCAAGTCACGTTAGCTGTGGTCAGAGGCACAGAGATGATCGACTATACAGCACAGCCCAGCGTGAGACACGAACACTCAAAGCATACGGGATTCACACCGCAAAGAGTTTCGGGAACGTTTCTCTCCCTTCTTTGCAGAGCAACGAGGTCGGAGACGGCGGCAGCAAACCGAGCAGCCTTCCTTCCCTCCGGGGCCACGCAGGAGGAGTGCAAGACATCACCAGGCCGCCTCACTCTCCAAGCGCGGGCAGCGAGGTGCCGCATCCTGTCTTACCACGCTTGCCACAAGAACAAGAAAGATTTCAATACCGTGGTGCAAACGGACGCAGGCTGCTCCTCTGCTCCTCTTCAGCACACTGCTCAGTCAGTGGGACATCGCCTCGCTGCGCTCTGCCAACGTCTCTGGCTGCTCTGCTTTACAAGAGGCGCGGACGGGACGCGGCTGCTCTGCGGCACGGGGCAGCACGCACGGCTAAAATGCACCAGACATATTCCTCATGGGGGTTTAATCACTTCGAAATCAGACTGAGTTTAAAAAATAAGTATTTCCCATTTTCTATCCTTTTATTTTATTTTTTTTTTAACTGACATTTAATAAATTATAAAATTGGTGTATGGTGAAATATATATATATATATCAGCCAGATATGTATGAAATACACATGCATGGGAAAAACTATTTAACTCACTTTTAACTCACACACACGGATCTATAAATACATATATACACACACATATACATATAAACACAAACGTTTGTTTTCAAAATTCAAGTCAACTATTTAGTGGCAGAGGGATGCTGTAAAAACACTAAAAACAATTTTGATGCCACATAATCATGTGAACCTTTCAAAGAACCATACAACTGATCATACAGCAATACCTAATGCTACTTGGATTAACGTGTTTTTCTTCTTTTTTTTTTGTCATTTTTCTTTTTTTTTTT